GTGTGTGTGTGTGTGTGTGTGTGTGTGTGTGTGTGTGTGTGTGTGTGTAAGCTAGAGGAAAACCTCAGGCATCATTCCTTAGGCACTAATCATCTTGTGGAGTTTTTTGGGGTGGGGGGTGTTATGGTTTTTTGGTTTTTGGTTTACACTGACCTAGTCCAGCCTCAGCTGTGGCTTACTGTCTTAGACTGGCCTGGTCCAGCCTTGGCTGTGGCTCACCGCCTTACGCTGGCCTGGTCCAGCCTCAGCGACTGTACTGTGGCGGTCTGGAGCCTCAGCTCCAACTGTGTTCTGCTCTCTTCTTTGGAGGAAGGAGGCATCCTTCTAATCTGGGCCTAACTCGGTAGCCTGCCCCCATGCCACCCCAGCCCCACTCAGGACAGAGGAGTTGCCTCAGCTCCCATGCTGGGGCTGACACCGCACATCCCAAGACCCAAATCCATTAGAACATGTGGCAGGCCTCACTTAGCACCCTGTATATATTCTCTGGCCCAGGCGTGAAACTGGTTGTTGTGGGCTCCCAAGACCCAGGCAGCTACTTCCTCCTTGGACACAAGCCAGTGTCTTCCCCCAGAGGTCCTGGCCACAGCTCAGTGCTCTGTGGCCGGGGCAAAGCGTCTCCTCTTTCACAGAATTTTGGGCCTTCTCTGACACAGCATGACTTAGAGGATTGTCCAGAGAGGGTGGGGACATTCACCTTCTGTCGAAGGCTTTCCTGAAGTCAGTGTGTCAACAAGTTTGGAGCACAGCGTGTGCGTGTTCCTATTCTGTTAACATTTCAGCAGCCAGTGCTCTTAAAATTGGTTTGGGGTGGCTTGGACATCCTTGCCCATTATTTTATTGTTAATCTACTGCTTTCAGAAGAGCGGTTCCACTTACCAGCCCCACTGCAGAAGGCTTTCTTAAGTTAATGGCCTGGACCTAGCATCAAGTTTTTTATTCAGAAAACAAACAAACAAACCCAAAACTTCCTTTCAAGGGCTGCTCTTGTACAACCTGGGGCAATAGTCCCATGGGAGGGGTGGGATTTTAGTTGTGGATCCTCTTCAACGATGTGCTGTGGCGGTACTTGAGGGGACAACGGCTCCCTCCCTGAATCCCACCACCCTCTTTCCTGTGGACATGCACAGCTTGGGTCCTGCTTCACCCCAGCTAAAGCGGTGCTGAGGGGCTGTGCATCTGTAATCCCAGCCCCCTGAAGGTGCACCTGTAATCCCAGCCCCTGGAAGGTGGAGACAGACTGGTTGCTGACAGTATGGGACCAGCCAGGGCCTCACAGTAAAGACTTGTCTTAAAAAAAAAAAAAAAAAAAGAGGGGCTGAAGAGATGGTTCAGCGGTTAACAACTCTGACTGTTCTTCCAAAGGACCTGAGTTCAATTCCCAGCAACCACATGGCAGCTTACAACTGTCTGAAAATTCAGTTCCAGGGGATATGACACCTTCACACCAATGCACATAAAGTTAAATAAATCATAAAAAAAATATTCTTTAAAAAAAACGGACAGAAGCTAAAGCCTCAGACAAAAAGCCACAGGTGACAAATATTGCACATTGCACAGTTCATTGAGACAATCTGGCAGCCATATTCTGCCTTCCTGGTTTCTTTCTAAAACCTGGGAGTGGTAGCCTCCTTCTGCCATCAACTTAACATATTAATGTCTTTTAACTAAAATTCGGTATCATCTAACAGGTCAGAGTTGCGGCCATGCGTCCTTTGTTCTAGATTTTCGCAGCTAATGAAACTGACATCAATAATTGTTTCCCTGCGGGCTGCTTATTAAAAGAAGTGATTTTTGATGAAGTCTACTAGGTGAGCGCTCACAGCATAAGGCCCATTAGGAATGTAGCCCTTACCAGTCACACACAGACACACAGACACACAGACACACACACACACACACACACACACACAGACACCTGGGGTGCATGCGTGAGTGCAGGGGGAGGTATGTTTTCAGATGTCACACACACACACACACACACACACCCGGGGTGCATGCGTGAGTGCAGGGGGAGGTATGTTTTCAGATGTCACACACACACATACCCGGGGTGCATGCATGAGTGCAGGGGGAGGAATGCTTCCAGATGTCACATAAACGCGCGCGCGCACACACACACACACACACACACACACACCCGGGGTGCATGCTTGAGTGCAGGGGGAGGTATGTTTCCAGATGTCAATTTCAGCTGATTGTTTCTGAGGCCATGTGACTTATTTTTGTGTCTTATGGTCCATTTTATAGACTGGCATCAATTTCTAGAGAAAGATTAGGGGTAGATGTCTGCAGATAAGTACATATTTCCAAGTCATGGAGTCAAGATATGGAGTCTGGTGACATTCAGAGCGAAACTGATGAAGGGTACTAAACTGTAACACCTTTTGCACAAGATGGGCCTTCCTGCTTTGCAGATGGGAATCTTGGTGGACAGAGGCCGGAGCAGGCAAAGCCAATGCAGTCCCTTCCTCCCACCTGTGGAAACACCAAAGGACCCATGAGGGCTCACAAGTCACAGCAGGGCCATGGTTTTACTTTTTCTTTAATGCTGGGAGTCATCATGTAAAAATTTAGGAGTTTCTATCCCTGCAAACCTCACGAAAGCTGGGCCTACTGGGCCTATCTCCTCCCCAGTGTTAACCTGCTGAAGCCATTATTAGCCATCCACTAGTCCTTATTCCTTTGGTTCCTTCTGGGCCCTGTGAGCATGGAAATCAAGGTCTTACCTCCAGGAAAAGTTAGGTGGAAGGCAGAGCCTTTTCCCTAGAGTACCAGGACTCGGAGAAAATCACTTCAGCCTTTGCTCAGCTCTGTGCTGGAGCTAACAGTGCAGCTTCAGAATGTAGTTGTGGGTTCATGGTCAAAAGGCCCCTCCCCGAGAGAGCACAGAGCCTGCAGAGGAAGGCCTAGGCACATGCCTGCCCTTGCCAGGGAGACTTTGGTGTCTGTAATGGTTTGGATATGAAATGTCTTCCCAAGACATCTCCCGTGCTAAAGTCTTGGACCCCAGCTGGTGGATTCAACCATTGTGATCATTACTGGATGACTGAGGGTTCTGACCTAATCCATGAGTGTAATTCTGATGGGTACAGAAATTGCTACCATTAGTGGGAGGTGAAGGAAACTCCCTTCTCTGTGTGTGTGTGTGTGTGTGTGTGTGTGTGTGTCTCCTGCTAGATAGCACACTGTCTTTCTCCTGGGTCAGAGCTCCTCAAATTCAAGTGACTTCCTAGCTACTTCCTTTCGGGCTCACGTGGGAGGCTGCAGGCTGCGCTCCAGGGTTGTGTGCGCCGCGAGGCTCTGGGAACATCTTGAGTTCGTCTGTAACTAATCTTGAGCCATTCCGGCTTTTCAAATTCGTAGCAAATCCGGCCCAGTCAACACGTCTGTGGTAAAGTGTGAGGAGCAAATACACAGACTGAGTGTGGGGCTGGGTTTTTCCTGCCCCCCTGCCCCACTCCTAACTCTGTTGTTACCCTTCAAGTTGTAATCTTATCATGTTTAGCTGGTCCCACATACACAGATCTAGGTATGTTTCCAGCTGCAGCCTGTTAACAGCAGATGTGCGCATGGCTGCCCCGTGCTGCTCCGTGGACATGCGTTTTTCCATCAACAGCTTCAGCTCTCTCCCCTTTCTTGAAGGGGAAAAGAATTAAAAAAAAAAAATTGTAACTCCCATTGAAGCGGGTGTCACAGACTTCCGGGTTCTGTGCAGCTTGGAGCTGCCAATGGTTTCCAAAGGGCAATCTGGCACACGAGGCTATGAGATCGGCGGGTCTATTTGGTGGACGGTGTTGACTGAGGGTGGCGTGGGGTGGGATGGTAGTGGTGAGTCAAACACTCCAGTTGTCCCGGGCACCTGTACCAGCCTTTCACCCTGAACTACAGATCCCCTAACCCGAGGCTTGGGAGAGTTCACCACCGCAGAAGTGACTGGCAGCCTGGGCTTTAGTTGCGTCCAGATGCAGTTAGTGAGAATTATCCAGATGTGAAAGAGCAGACCGTCTGATTCTCCTTATATGAAGTACTTAGAGCAGTTCAGTTCACACAGAGATGCAGTGTGGCCGCTGTCAGGGGCTGCTCTTTGGCCAGAGAGTCTGTTTGAAAAGTGAACAGAGGCCTGGGCAGCACAGGAAGGAACTTGAGGCTACAGAGAAGGAGTTAAAGAAAGGATCTCTTCAATGTAGCCACCAGCATCAGTGACCTTTCTTGTTGCTATGACCAAATATGTGACAAGAAGCAAGTTAAGGGAGGATGGGCTTTTTTTTTTTTTTTTTTTGAAGCTTGAAGTGACTAGTCACATTGCACACTCAGCCAGAGGAATGTTGATGCTCAATTTGTCTTC